GGAAATCTCCGAGTATCCATAGTAGCTCTTCGCTCTCCTCTCTGGTTAATTTCTCGTCTTCGTCCCACTTTATCTCAATTGACTCCAATTCTTCTTCTTTCGGCTCTTCGTCCCACTTTATCTCAGTGGAATTCGATTCTTCTTCTTCCGGCGAACTCACAAAAATCTGGGGTTCTTCGAAAAAATCATCGTCTTCCTCTTCCTCTTCCTCCGGCAATAGGCTCGGCAACGGCCGTGGTGATGGTAGCAGTGGCGTTGGCGGTGATGGGCGGCGGTCCCTTCGGCTTTTGTGTTGGCGTTGACGTCGTCCGTGACTTTGTTCGAGCAATTTCTGAAAGTCAATCCGTAATCTCTCTACGGATTTCTCCAATCGCTCCAACCGTCTTGTTTCTGACATCATGATTTTCACAAAGTTTTGATGTGATCTCAACTTTGCTCCAGCGTAGCTTTGATGTAATCGCTGCCTTGCTAACGAAGCGTTGGTGTTAATCGCAACTTCGCTCAGATACCAATTGATGCGATCTCTTGTGTATCATAGGATTTCTTTACTAAACGTAAGAAAACTCTTCTTTATTATTTCTCTTCATTCCCAAACCCTAACACAATACGACTATTTAAAGAGAATAAAACCCTAGAATCCTAATCTAACTAAGAAACATAATTACCTATACTAATTAAATACTTAATAATCCCTAATCACTAAACACACGGCTAAATATATATCCTAAATATACTATTCTAATTAATTAATAATTAAATACTAACTAAACAATTAATTAAATAATATATTAAATAATAAATCCCAACACATTTAGACCCAATTTACTTTAGCAAAACAAAGCCCAATAAATAGCCCATTTTTCTTCATCTTCTTCACCCGTGAGTTGTAGAACTGCGACCAGCCACCAAATCTGCAAGCTCATAAATCCTCTCCGATCGATACTTCAACCACTACTTTCCTCTCTTGTCCTGTTTAATGGGTACCCAATGGCTTTTCATTTAAGAAATTCAAGAAAATCGCCGCTCTCCGCATCCACACAGGTCCACAAATTCCTCGCCGGAGATGGCGGCCGACTGTCACTCTTCGCCGCCGAATTACACTCTCTCGTCCACGGACAAGACACGCCGTTACGATGGCGAGGAGTTCAAAGAGAGCAAGTTGACGTTAGCTCTCTGGCCATGTATTTTCTTCTAAATTATTTTACTCGTAGCAGCATCAATCGTACTCGTTGTCAAATTCCGTTTGTACTGCCATACCCCTCTTCACTCCCTCTTAAAAAATGCCTGCCGGCAATAATCCCACACCAAAATCCCCCACTTTGCTTGAAAAAAATTAGGCCCTTTTGTAGCGATGTCAATTCGGTGCATACCGATTCCGAATTCGAGAGCGACATCAAAAATGAATCAGCTTCCGCCGAATTCGAGGCCAATTTGAAGGAGGTGGAAAGAGTATGCAAGGTGATCGACGAAATGTTTGCTCTAGATAGGAACATGGAGGCCGTTTTAGACGAATGTGGGATCAATCTGAATCATAAATTGGTGTTGTGTGTGCTGCAGAGATTCAATCATGCTCGAAAACCCGCGTTTCGGTTCTTCCGTTGGGCTGGAGATAGGCCTGGATTCTCTCATGATTCGACCACTTACAACGCAATGATGAACATTCTTGGAAAGACCAAACAATTCGAGACATTGGTTTCTCTCCTCGAAGAAATGGGAGAGAAGGGTTTGCTCACGATGGAGACCTTCACCATCTGCATCAAAGTCTTCGCCGTTGCAAAGGAGAGGAAAAAGGGAGTTGCCATTGTCGATTTGATGAAGAAATATAATTTCAAGGTTGGAATAGAGACCGTTAATTGTTTGCTCGATGCATTGGGTAGGGCCAAGCTCGCAAAAGAAGCTCAAACGTTGTTCGAGAAATTGGAGCACACATTCGCCCCAAATCTAAAAACATACACAATCTTGATCAACGGTTGGTGCACGGTCAAGAATTTAATGGAAGCCGCTAGAATTTAGGAGTTATTCTGTATTAATCATGAATCTATGCAAACACGGCCACTTAAAAGAAGCTATAGACTATTTTGACGAGATGGTCGATTCTGGATGTGGGCCCAATGCTGCGGTGTACACATGTTTGATGACTTGTTTTGCGAATCAATAGAAGATGGATATAGTTTATCGGTTATTAAACGAGATGAAGGAGAAAAATTGCCAGCCCGATGGCCGATTGTACAATCACTACACCAAATGAGCAATTTTCTAACACCACTATCTTATGATTTCTAACGGATATACCCGTTAGTAATTGCTAACACATATATCCGTTAGGAATACAACTTATGTGTTAGTATTTGTAATAAGTCATTTTTATTCTATTTATATTTTGTTCTAACGGACATAATGTTGGATTCTAACGGATAATGAGTTAGAAATATAGCTACTCTTAATAATTTATAAGTTATTTATATTAAATATTCTGTTCCTAAATTAGTTATTTTAAAAAATAATAAATCAGAGTTGTTCAAAACTATATGAACACATGTTATATATTTGTCCACACTATGCACATAATATTTTAATTTTCAAATACTGGAGCA